GGAAATTTCATAAATTCTGGGGTCCGGTTTCTCCACACCCCAGCCCTGAGAAAACACCAAAGTCCCATTAGGGACCCCTGAAATAGACCCTCTTTACTCAAAGGTTTTGAAAAATGCATTACTTTATCACGATTCTGTAACAATCAGTAACTCAAATAGTTAATAGCGTATGCATGCCATTGTGATGTTAAGCCATAGATACGCCCAAGAATATCACACTATATGTATATGCATATACACAACCAATTAGATTGAGCATAAAAATCTACTGTTATCAAAGCAAGCTAAATCAACTTATCCAGGCTGAGATTAAATTGATAGTCTACGAGACCATTCACGGGGACAACAAACCATAAATTCAGGCTCATCACGGCGTAAAGCTAAACTGCAAAACGGCGAAACCACAATTATTGGTTAGTCATGTACCGCTAGTTTGTCTACCTGGTTTAATCTCGAAGCAGGAAGAATCATGTCCTGATATCGGTACTCGGCATTGCTCACAATTCCAACTTTAAAGCCTTCCTGACACAGCCACGTCAAGACTGGTTGGGAGTCGATCTGGAAAAACGGTGTAAGGTGCAGCTGCACCAAAAGATGCATATATGCATCTAAATATCTTCTCAAATGTCTCTTCATCATACTCATAACCTGCCAGTTAGCAAATATAAACATTGGGTTGCAACCCATTTAGGCAAAGGATTTTGAGAAGTAAATGGAACTCTCAAGCTCTGACTATGAGCAGAATTCTTCAACTTGCGGTACTAATATCACAAAACATCACAATCAGAATGACAGATACAGCAATTCGATACATCAAATCATTATGTTAACAAGAAATAAAAGTATAGCTTTAGTCATTACATAAGATAAAACTGGAAACAAGATGACATACTCAGACATGCAAAAGCCAGTAGTCTTCTAGCTGCATTAAGCAACTCACTGAGCTCCAGTTCATAGGCTTTGGCATTTTGGCAGCATGTCTGAAGCATGGATAGTTTTTTGCCATTTCTGTTTATCAAGAATAAAGCCCTCGTGAAGGTGTTTAATTTTATAATCGGGACACGGAAGACGAACTGATTTGGCAGCCATGCAGCTATAGTCACCAAGCTCCCCTTAGGCTATGAGGGTGCCGGTAACGTAGCGATTGTAATATGGATAGGATTGTTATTTGCAGATTTTCACTTGGGAGTAAAAGGCTTTTAAGTGTAAATTCTGAAGTCAACCAAAAAAATTAGGACCATCAACTCTTAAAGTAACTTGCCAATTTCCACACATCTCCAAAGGAGGATGAGTTGGATTAACCAGTAAGCAAAGGAACACTGACACCAATTTCCACTCTGATAGATCTATCAAACATACAAAGATGATGTCAATATGTTGGAATTTCATTCATGCTCATGAATTATGTCGTGGCACAAGAGAATAAATGAAATCTACACAACTAGGGAGGTTGATTCAAAGGGTTTAATTACTCGTCTTGCAGATACGGGTGTAATCCACGATATATGTAAGAGCCTTTCCAAATTGTTTTCAACATGATGATTACCAAAGGAAGAACTCAAATAGGGGCCTAAAGTTTCCATGCTTGTCGCCGCCCAAGCATTCAATCTGCAACTTGCCACTCGTGGATTCAGCCTGGAAAACGTTCTGTTGCAAAGGTCAACCCAGCAGCAGGGCCAGTCCCTCCTCGAATCCGGTTTGGGTTTGGTCCACAACATCCTCAATATCACACATCAACGTATGCATAACATGCCAACATTAGATTTTCAGAGAGGAGGAAGCCCATCAATTCAAAGAACCCAAAACCAGAACATATTAGGAGTCCAAAGACAAATAAAAAAAGCAAGGGAATTGGATGACCTACTTCTAGTTGAGTGAACCAGGAAAAGAAAATCACAATATCTCATCATGAGCCCAGACAATAGGACATGTCCACAGGTCACTGTCTCTGGAAAAATGACAGCATATCCCTTGATATATATTACATTACAATTGCTTTAAATTAATGGTAGCATTTGTTCCGAGGAAAATTAGTAATTTGAAAATAAATTTCCTAAAAATAATTGTCCGTATGTCTTTTAAGAATAAATGGACGAAAATAATTAGGTATAATTTGCTATTAATAAAGAAAATACTTTTTGTTGACTAATTTTTCAAGGCGATATAATCAATCATTTATAGAAAAACGATTTCCAATCATTCATTTTTTGAGAAACAAATGCACCCAAGAATAAATACTACGAAAAATCTCAAACCGGTACGCTCGTATCACATTTACAACAAACTAATTTTTGTATCATAAGAAATCACAAACAGGTATACGTATGCCATATTTACCCAAACTTGGGCCACATTTCCCTAAATGTGGCACGGATGTACCAATTTGGGAGGTTTTTCTAACATAAATATTAATTCGGAATAAATATTGCACGAATGTACCGGTTTAAAGTTTTTGGTGGTATTAGCCCTTATTAAATTCGTAATGTTTAGATTAGCTCACCGAACGAATGTTGCACAACATATGTTTGTTACCTTCGGTTCATCCGTAGACTGTATTTGAGCTTTACCATTCATTCATTCATTCATTTCTGTACTTCGTATCGGTTAAAACTAGACATGCCATATTCCTCAATTTATTTCGCGACCGACCACTAACAATAATAGGGCACCTACCCTCTCTCTATCTCTCTCTCTCACGCTAGAGAAAACATTCTCGGCCGTCGGATGAGAAATAAAATAGTGGGGGTGTACATCTCGAGGCGATGTAATCAAATCATCCTATCCGCATCTTAACTTTGCCCTTCATTCATTGCTCCTACGTGTTTGGGAGAGAGAGAGAGAGAGACACTGACGCTCCCGATGATGTTGACGCGGATTCTTCCGTGGTCCCGCGCGTAGGGTATTATTGACGTGGGCCCGGATCGAAAGATCCTTCCCACCAATGGCGTCCTGCCACGCGTGCACCGTGATGCAGCGAGGGTTGACCCAACGATGGTGTGCATCCGGAAGGCAAAAAGGAAACAAGGAAGCTTTGGCCGATCGTATAACGAGTAGTACTTGCCCTAACTAGAAACCATCGCATCAAATTCACCGCCTTAGTTAATCACGTGAGTTTCATATGCACGAAGATGATTAGGATAAATCGATCGGGTCCATTATAAGATTATCCCTTCTCTTTTTCCACTCTGGACCGAGCACGAGCATAAAACGGGCCCACTTGAGGAGGAAATGCTGATATGACAAAGAAGTATCGGTTCGGTCGTACTCTATTTCTCGCGTAACTGACGCGTCGAAACGCCTTTTTCGGGACGAGGGTCCTACTCGATTCATCGACGTAACGATGCGTGTGAATTTGTGGTTGCATGTGCTCGAAAACCCGCGCGATCATACTTGTTTCGTGGACATTGCGAGCGAGGTTATTCGAGAAGATGACATTGGGGTTGGGTGGGGGTGGTGGATAGCGATGGGAGGGATTGGAGGATGGTGATAGCGATAGCGACTGGCTGATCCTCTGATCGAATTCTTTGAGGATAGGATGGTTTGTTTGTGCGTAGGGACGGTTATGATTTTGGGTCACACTTGGACTAGAGAGAGAAAGAGGTTCATGGTTTTATTTCTCCGGCATATATATATTTATCCTAAACTTTATAAATGCGCAAATGTGCATTAAAACTAGTTTAAAAGACTAGATTGCCCCTCATTCATTACCAAATACTCGAGGTAGGGATTAGGAAAGTGACGAGGACAATGGGTCTTTCTTGAAATCCATTAACGAAGTTGAAATAGCAATTAGAAAGTCTCGAATTAAAGGATTTGCAATAATAAGTGGATCGGAGTATGGGAAGGTATGACGTATTTTTACCCATGTTAGATATTAGCGTTGCGCGTGAGTGAAGATTGGTAGTTGTGATTAAAAAGAAAACGGGCGGTTACATAAGAAGGTGTCCGGAAGTGGAAAGTTATTAGACATGTTAATCGTACCGGTTGTTTTATCTTGTTATTGTTTTGTGAAGGAGCAGGGAAGACTCACCTTTGACTATATATTTGCGATTAAAAAGAAAATGGGTGGTTCGATAAATAAATAGTTTCTTTTTCAATGAATAAATAGTTGAAAAGTGAGAACTTGTTAGAAATGTTTCGCTCTATTTAATTTACCCACCTAAAATTTCTTCCAAACAAAATCAAATAATATGATTTCAATGATGTAAGGCAATCCCGAGTTTAATGTCTAATCCACGATATACATTCAAAGTTGTCATCTTCCCTTATTTAGACATTTCAAATGACGACCCCGTATCAAATCATGACACGGGAAATCTATACAGTCAAGATCATGAACCATCTTTCTCTTACGGATTTCCCTTTTCCGATCTATACATTGATAATGCAACGTTAGAGGAATCCGTCAAAATCCAATTGGAGTGGGTGTTGGTGCAGAGATATACCCCAAGCATGTACGGAATCCGTCTAAAATCCAAAATAATTATTTTACAAGAATCCAACATCAGAGACCGAGAACGGACAGGGAATCTTAACCGCGCTTAATCAAAATCAAATCAAAATTAAATTAAGGGAAAAAAAAAAGACATTCCGCCCAATCTAATCCGAGGTTTTATACTATTCCTATCCCAATCTAATCCCCCTCTAGTGACGGTCACGTGCCGGGAGCCGCTAACCTCACGGGGGCCGTCGCTTCGGAAGCTAACGGACGGACCAATCGTGGCCCTCGACAGCGCTCCACGAGGCCCCGCGTGCGCGCTTTTGCCCCACTCGCTGCGCGCGTCACCCCCGAAACTAACCTCCCCAACCCCACGCCTTCTTCCCGTCTCCGCCCACAATCTTTGATTGAAAAAAATGAAAAAACGAAAGGGAAAAAAAACTTCCATGATCATCGTCGTCGCCATGATCATCATCGTCTCTCTCTCTCTCTCTCTCTCTCTCGTTATGCTGGTAAGTACGTGTAGTACTTTCTCTCTCTTTCGCTCTCTGTGTGCGCGCGCGCGCGAGTGTGGGTGCATAGACAAAAGCAAAACGCAACAGAAAAGCAACGATAACCGAGAAAGGCAAAAGCGCCATTAAATTCCTCTGCACCACTCCACCCCCGCCAAACCCCATTTACTACTCTCTCTCTCTCTCTCTCTCTGTGTGATGGTGTTGCAGGCTTTGAGATTGTGAGTGCCACAAAGGCGCAGAGAGACAGGTTGGCGATATGGGCGACGGTATGCGAGCGAGAGAGGCCACATGCTCCTCCTCCGCGGCGCCTCACCAGCCCGACGAAATCTCGCTCTTCCTCCGCCAGGTCCTCCAGCGTTCGGGCCGGAGGGCGGCGGAGCACCCCGGGCCCCCGTTCGTCGACGGCGGCTGCTGCGGCGGCGGCGGCGGCGGGATCTCGTCCGTCGGTTCGTCCGACGGGGTCAACAGCTTCTCCGCCTCCGCTGCTTCGGGCGGCGGCGGGTTCCTCGCGGGTAATGCGAGGCTCAGTGCGGTTGCCGCCGCCGCCGCTTCGTCTTCCGTTGGGGCCAGCGAGAATGAAGCTGATGATTACGACTGCGAAAGCGAGGTGAGCGCGTGTGTTTTTCGTTCTTTCTTTTGTCTTGTTTCTCGGGCGTTTGCTGTTTTGTTGCTGAGAAAAAATGGGGGTGGTCTTTTTTTTTTTTTACAGAGATTTGTCGTTGTGGATTGGATTCCGTATGACTTGTGGGAAAAAAATGGGATTAAATCTTATCTCTTTCCTTAGTGGGCTAAAACAATGCTAATATCCTTTGGTATAAGATTGTTTTTTCGATGGCAAGGGGAGGTAAATTCGCGCCGCCCGGGATATGGGATATTTCTTCCAATCTTTCTGAGTATGATTTCTGCTTTTTGTTTATAAGAGAAGAGATTGCAGTATACTTTTGGGCTTGATCTGGAGTTGAAACTTTGGCTTTGGCTGAAGTAATGAGATTAACCAGAGTTAAACTTTTATGTTCGGGAAAAATTTGAAGGGGAGGAGATTAAAAGGATTCATGTTAGCTTGTTTTTGGTTGTTCTCTCTCGGATTTATTTGCAAGTTCAATTTCATGATGTTTGTTAAATGTAGTAGGGACTCGAAGCGTTGCTGGAGGAAGTTCCTGCCAAGCCAAATCCATCTCGTAGCTCGTCCAAGCGAAGCAGGACAGCTGAAGTTCATAATTTGTCGGAAAAGGTTGGTCTTTCACGCCAGGACCGTTCTGCTTCTACAGTTGTATTTGTTAATTTAGGGTCAAAGTATGTGTAGCATACTAATCGCCGAGTCCTTATGCATGACGATTGTGCTGCAGAGGAGGAGGAGCAGAATCAATGAGAAAATGAAAGCATTGCAGAGTCTAATTCCTAATTCTAACAAGGTAAACACATTTTAGACATTTTAGCAAGGATGGCTAATTTAACTTGTTGCTGAAGGTTTGTTCCCTTTAACTGATGAAGCCATATGATTTTTTTTTTTTACTTCTCATTGATGGCAGACTGACAAGGCATCAATGCTGGATGAAGCCATTGAGTACCTTAAGCAGCTCCAGCTCCAAGTTCAGGTTCTTGCCTTGTCCCAAATATTGCAATACTAGCTATTAATTATATGCAGATTGTATTGTCATGATAATCCTAGTATGCCCTGCAAACGTTTTGAGCTTTTCCATGCATTTTGACTTGTTTGACGTGCTGGTGGTCTACGTTGTTCTTTGCAGTTTTCTTAAAGAGATTGGGCTGCATGTAAATACAAGTAACTGTTACTAGTGTGCGCTTGAGCAAAAATAGATCGAAATCTTTTATATTGACTGAGCGATCAATAAGAATTAAGACATGGATGAGGAGTTAATGAGGAGGGTGACCGTGTTAGTCAATGCTATTGCTGATGCTGTGCTTGAGAAAAGAAGTGCAAACTTTCAAAAAAGATGGCCCCGGGATTTTTTCTTGGAGGAGAGGTTTTCCAGGAGAATATATGTGCTGAAGAATTAGTTGTTCATTTACTTGTCTCATATCCGAGCATGGGTTCGATGGTGGAACAGCAGAAAGTCATTGATTGCTTGTTCCTTCCTAAAAGCTAACTATTTTTAGGGACCTTAAGTGCTTAGGCTCAAGCCTTTCTACCGAAAATAATCCGTATGTAAGATTGAGCATGGGCCGGAGAAACTTGACTCTATAAACGTTTCTGAAACTGGTGACGATGTGGTATCGATAGTCAATGTTGCGAGTATACTCATTTGAAGTAGCATTTATATCTAGTGTATGATCAATTGATAGAGATAGGGTAAAATAGAAGTGTCAGGTGTCCTTTATCATACAGTTGCTCTGCCTTTCTCCATGCTTCGCATAGGCTGCAAAGAGGAATGTCTCACTATTGAGAGGACTAGTGTAGATACCTCGAAGACAGTAAATATTGTTGCTGCGTCTGCTGATTTTTGCAGTATCAGTGAAAATAATCTTGAAAATAATCTTGCCATGCCACCTTACATGTGAATATTCTCTAGATGTTGGAGTGATTGAGAGGATGTCACTTAATGCTAATCTGTTTTTCTTTGTTGTTTTTGTTACTTTACCACAAACAAATTTTCTGATGTAGATCAAGCTTCACGCAGGGCACCGACAGAATTAACAGTGCTTCATTTCTTCTCTTGGTGCGAGTTTATCTCACCACACTGAAATAATGTTTATGAGAGGGAAAAGGTTTGAAAGAGATGAATATATTCTAACTGTTCATCTGTCTTTTCATTCACTGTAGCAAGGTGTGTGATTAATATGCTCTAATAAAATTTGCTTATGCCTCAAACATTGGAGACAGTTGATTGTGATGAAGGTTATGTTGAATAACAAATTCAAGGTAGGTAATCAAGTATGTCACATTGGACACAGTTGATTGTGTATGCAGGGACGGATCTAAAACTATAATAACGGGGACCTGGGGCCAAATATAGGATTAAATATTAAGTGTACCCAAGATATAATGGACTGGCTATTTTCACCAAAATAGAGTAATAATTAATCTGTATCCACAGGCACGGTATTGATACTATGCTTAGGGCATTAAAAATCTGCGATTTTATCTTCTTTGCATCTAAATCAAACATTTGGCGAAGTACTTCAACCTTGTGAAGAAGCTAACCTTTTCATTATGAAAAACAAATTTTAACTTTTCCAATCTACAATTGCACCCTCTTTACACAATGCCCTTTGCACCACAAAATTTCGAAATTCTTCACACTTAACCCCTTGGAATCTTATGCCTTCAGGAAAACTATAAACTAGAGCGGTGCAATGCTTGATTTTTTTTTTTTTTGGATGTTAGGGTGTGAAGTGTGGGGTTTTGGAACTAGATGGTGCAAAGTTTAAATTTCAAAAGTAAAAGTATAGCTAAATTTCGACAAATCCACACACTTGACCACTTGGAATCAAATGCCTTCAGAAAATCTAGAAACTATAGGGTGCAAAGCTTGGGGGTTAAGTGCAGGGTTTTGGAAATATATGGTGCAAAGTGTGAGTTTCAAAACTAAAAGGTATAGCTAAGCGAAAATTTGAGAATGATCTTGAAAATTCCCTGATATAATAAACAACAGCTAATTTCATTGAGGAAATCAAGTAACCGTTTGCACATCAAAATATGTATATGTGGAAGGGAATTGCAAAATTCTTCTAAAAATGCGTTGCTGAATGATAAAAAGAGAGACTAATAGACAACAAAGGAACTTAGAGTTTAGTGAGAGTTTGTGTGTAAGGTGGAGGAATTGGTTGAGATATATTGAAAGGTTACTTTGGGCTAATCTTGCATAATCATTAATCTAAAAGAGAAAAGCCCAGCAACAGGATGGCAAGGGCTTTATATTCTGAATGGACTGTGGGGCCAAGGCCTTCGCTATGTCAAGTGAAGAATGTGCAAGTGATTATAGTACATTGTTCCTCTTTCCACTGTTTCACTTAAATCTACTGTTTTCATTTAGGAAAGAATTTATTAGAGTGAGAGGACAGAAATTCTTGTAAAGGCAGAAAAGCTTCTTTAAGGATTGTGTAGTGGGAAGAAGTCATTTCTAGTCACGAAAATGGTTACTTTTAAAGTCAAGACGGAATGTGTACTCGTGGCAACTGATGCTGGACGCGGGTCTATCGCCTTGTAAATTCATGTTGTTCATTCGAAGTCAATTTCAGTTGTTATGAAAAACTTGAAGTCTGAAGGTCTCTTTTGAGGGACTTATATTTTGAACTTACTAATTTGTTTCCCTTTTCCTTCTCCTGTAACTTTTGAAATTTGACCTCATTTCGTGTTCAACACATGCAATCTTTCCTTTCAAACATACAACAATTGAAATGAAAGAGTCGTTATTGTTTTTCCTAGTTTTTTAGCGCCTATGTATCTTTTGTTGTTTTTAAAATTTTGGAGGGCAAAAGCAAATCGAACTGTTTTTTAGACCCAAAACTTCAAGGAAAAATGTTTAAGCCTTGTAGAGGGGAGACGAAATGAATTCAAGTAAGGCTATACTTGTGATCGTAATTATTGCAAGACAAGAAAAGGAGATGCATAGACTTAATTAACTCTATTTCGATATCATAAGTGTAATAATAAACATTAAAATAAGGCAAATATAACAGTTCATAGTGCCAAGAAATCTGTTTCTGGAGTGACAATTTTACTTTTTGCTTTTTCCAAATCTTGTGGCGCATGTGCTTTGATTTTTTCGAACTTAAACATTTGAAACTTTCACAACAGAGTTTTTCATAATTTTTTACGAATTAGAATAATATTTTGAATTCTGGGGGAAGTAAAAAAGTCACTTTTTGCTTTTTATATTCTAGACAAACGATCATACTATTGAGGCAAGCCAAAAGTCAACCTTAGAAGATATTTGAGTTCATCACAGGATTGCAAATGTACTTGCATTAAGGAATTGTGACAAAATGATACACTGAGCTATTGGATTATTCAGACAAGGTGATCTACTAATAGCTGCTATGAAGTTTGATGATGAGAATCTATTTGGAGATTCTCTTATTGGCATGTGGGAGGGGAAGGGAATTTGTTTACTAGTTTACCTAAGTCTGTTTGCAGCTGATGTACATAGGTTTAGTGAATGTTGTTTTGAAGGTTATGCATCTCAGATTGTGGACATCTATGTCATGCTCACCTTACAACATTCTGCTAGCGATTCTACTACTATCCCCATACCACACTTTGATCTAATTCATGCACTTGATCTGCAATTTAGGTGTGTGTAAGATTAATTTCAATGGTTTGATGATGATCTTGTTCTCAGTGTGGACTGTGTGGTTATTTTCCCTTTCTTTATTTTGTTGGCTGACTTCATTCAGTGGTTCAGTGGGAGAGTTTGTCTACCTGGAAGTTAAGTTCTTGAGGCGTAATCCATACTGTTCCTCTTCGTGTGTGTTTTTGCCATTCAACAGTTCGGTATTTGACCATTCATGAAGGGTATATGATTGACAATAGATGTGAGAATTGGTTCTCGTCTAATGAGCTCATTTTGTATTGCTCGTTTCAGATGTTATCGATGAGGAACGGATTAAGTTTGCATCCGATGTGCTTACCCGGGTCCGTGCACCCCATTCAACTTCCCCAGATGAGAATAGGCTTTGATGAGGAAAATGGCCCCCTGCATATGAACATGGCACCTACCTTTCCAGTCAACAATGAAACCTCGACTGAAACTGCGTTTGGTCTACCCAATGATCGTGCTGTTCCAAGCGAGCCTTCCATGTCAAATATGATGAACTCAGGAATTTCTTTTGGATTGGAATCCTCCATCCAAACACATCGTGTACCATTTCAACTCAAGCAATCAACTTCTGGGGTGAGTTAAGTATCTTCTCTAGTAAGATGGCTTATTAAGTTGAGTAAATAACCGGTTACTAATTTTCCTTGATGCATTTTGAAGGACATTAATCGGGAAGATGTGGCTCCACATGGCCGGCATCAACCTTCAATTATTGACCAATCTGATGCAGATCCATTCGGTGTGAACATGAAACCTGCATATTCTTTTAGCAATTTGTTTTTTCCATTTAGAAAATATACTAATGCCAGCACTACGCTCTGACATATTAATTCATCACTTACGCTGTTTGAAAAGGACCTGAGATGGGCGAAACAGCTGCGCAGTCACTTCCCTTGGCTTCGCTAACATCTAATAGGAAAGGTGGGTTGCTAGAGTCATCCGCAGCCAGTAGCGATCGTCCTTAAGGTGTGTGATTAGACTTTTTCGGAGCAAAACCTTTCGCTTCTTGCATGCCATGTCTAATTTTAGATTTGTCTATTCTACTCATTTTCGTCTCAGGCTGAGACTCTGGTTTTCCTCATTTTCTTGTCACAGCGTATGTTCTTTGACGGTGTAGTTGGAATTCTCTAGACGGTGAAGTCAAAAGAAGAAAAGGGATGACTCTTTGCATTAGCTGCTAATGAATTTGGTGTGGAACAAACTTTGCAATCTTCCGTCAATTTCTTAAGGAGCTAAGTGGAGTTATGGTTGAGATGGAATTGGTCTTCCACATATGAGACTTGTCCATAGAAATTATTGGTTGGGCCTCAGCAGTCTGTATCGTTTGGGTCAAGTAATTGACATCATATATCTCTTAAGTTCTTTTTTTCTCCCTTTTTGGGTGATAGAGATCTTCTATCTCTATCCTCTAAGGTTAGCATACATTGTTCACTGACCTCTATGTAATTTATATGAAGAGTTCTATGATTACTCTGGAGGAATGTTGTTGGTACTTGAAATACAATTGACCCACAAGGACATTGTGTCAAAACCCAATTTCCTAGAAGTTCCATCTTTCTAGGATGGAAATTGCAGTGTTTTTAATCTAAACTGGCATTAAACTACATATGACCCGTAGTTTGTTTATAATTGTACAATAACAAGGGAATTATACCTTGGCTTCTGTGGGGTCAATCTGAAGTGACCTTTAGAGAACTTCATAGTCGAATATGTGTTTTCTTTTGGGGCCAAAATATTTAACATAGTTGAAGTTTGCCCTTTCGAAGTGGCCTTATTGATGCTTGCTGCTTGGAATCGACAAACAGCAAGACAGATATAATCATCTATCAAAACCCTAGCTACTAAATAATTCAGCTTGTCACTTTTAAAGTGACACTTGAGAAGATTTAATATTGAATGTCAATTGTAGTTCAACTTCTGGGTGGCTTCATTCTATTGTTGCTACTGGGCAACATGATTCAAACTAGAATAATTGAAGGAAAAGAAAGAGAGAAATACAGAACAGCCGCAGCCTAGCACTTGCTGATGCATTTTAGTGCGTGTAACCCACATTGGTTGGACTGGTCCTTAGAGTAATTAGAACTCAGTATATTCCTCTGCTCATCGACGTGCTTGATGCTACTAAGCTATTGTTGTTGTTGCCAAATTATCCGTGATGTCCTACTCAAAAGAAAATGGCGGAATATGTGCTGAGACAAAGCTTGTCTACGCAGCTCCTTTGGACTGCAAGAATAGACAAACACTAGGGTTCATCAAATGCAGGTAGTGAGTTTAATGAATCGTGAGGGGTCAATTCGATCTGATGCACCATGTCCCACGAGCTCCTTTGAGGAGATTTAATATTATCTTCATGCTCGAAGAAGATGCGGCTCGATCCAACATTGCATTTTTTTCATCCATGGAAGGTTACAAAGCAGCAGGACCGGGAGGACAAGCAGGAACAATACTCGTTTGATGAGTGCAAGAACTAAAGTGTATCATGTGGCCAGTCCCTAGGCAAGAGGCCGGTGACTACTTTTGCACTACACTTTTGGTGGCTTCAAGAAGCACAAGCCCGATTCTTCCAATGCAGGCAAACAGTTACGAGTGTCTAAGCAACTCGTGTCGTCGCCCCAACCAGTTTGTATCTTAGACATTTGCTACTTAATATGGAAAAGTTATATGACTTCCCAACATGTTGGTAGGGCTGCGATAATGAATTTGTTGATCTCGAAACTTCGTGTATGAGTGAACAGAGTAATTATGATTCGAACCAACCATTTCAGTTATAGGTGTGACCCTCTTCATGATAATGTTATGCGTAACGTGATTCCTCACCCTTTTCTTTTTTATTATTAGAAGATCCATACCTTTTGTTGATACGAATAATCAAACCTTTTGACTTCATGTGTGTAATTTGTTGTTGTTGTGGCCCCCGTGGCTACCGCATGAAGGAAATTAACTTTCTTGACGTAGTTCCTTTTGGCCAGATGCTGAAATTTATAGTCAAATTATTGAAAAAAAAGCATCATCTAGTCAAAGTTTGATTGAGTAATGACCGGGAGAGCAATTTCATATTGTCGGAGCCGAGAGAATGTTCGCTCCTGTACTCGCCAAATTTGACTTAACATCACCTCTACGTTTGCATCATGGCATAATTTGTGCCACCTGACTCATATTTAACCAATTAGCAATTTGGGCACTTCTATCACTTATTAAATTTAACTTTAGAAATGGATCAAAAAGAAGTATCTTCAGATGTGTTCTTAGATTATTTTGAAATAAGTTTCTATTGTCCTTCTAAATTTTTTTTTATCTCTTTCGACTTATCTCATTGATTTTAAATTTCAAAAAAAAAAAAAACCACGAGACAAGTTCTAATTGCTTATTCGACTTACATAAGTTAAATCGACATTTATTCAAATTAAATTTGAGATAAATTGAATGGTTTGTTTTTGTAATAGATTGGACGCTTGTTTCTTGGAAATTAAGTTTTTGGAAGAATGCGGAGATCTGCTAGGCTCAGGTTATCAAGATCTCAACCGTTTTCAACAGGATTTGTGAAAGAGGATCCGAAATTCATGATATCTGATTTGAGATTAGGCCACTAATTCGTGCTTGAGAGAAGGAAGAATCAGAGGATTTTTACAATTTGATTGTGTAATAAAAGATTGTACAATATTTATTGAAATTAATTCAATCTACATATATTGTTAGATCTAAAGTTAAATAAGAAATTATATTTATGTACAAACATGTCAAGATTTGTTAAAGAACTTACGTTCATGCAAAGCATGAGTGCTAATAGAATGTCTGATCATAAGCTCACCACGTGACATTTCAATGATTTCACTATGCTTTTGTGATTGTCATGTGGCAAGACACATTGCACAATCCCGTCATAGCGCCTAAATTCAACCAATAAGGTTATGAATTTATCTTCCCAAAATGCTATATCTTATTAAGTTTTACTTCAAAACAAGAAAGATAAAGAGTAAGTAACTTAAAAGCGATGAGTTTTGTATAATTCGACCAAATCTGTTTGACAAAGAATGAAATAAATTATATCAATTGATAAAATTTATCGAACTAAAGATAAAGTATTTTCATGAACTATACATTTCTTTTAAATGATATGTTTTTCTTTAATGCGATGAAAATTACTTAATTAAGAATGAAATAAATAATATAGTTGATTTTCGATGAAAATTACTTAATTAAGAATGAAATAAATAATATAGTTGATAGTTGATTGATTTAATTCAGCAAAACTTTAAGAAAATTATTTAATAAGGAATAAAATAAATGATACATTTTATTTAGTTCAAAAAATTAAGAAAATAAAGTTATGACTTTTTTGAAACATGTATACTTACATCTCGCTTTTTTTTGTTTCCTTTTGAAATCAACTTATCTTAAATATTCGACCAAAAAAAAAGCTTATCTTAAATATAACACATATCTCATTTAAATATAGCATATTTAAAACCACTCAATTTAACATTGAGTTTAAAAAATAGATAAAATTGATAAGATTTGTTATCAAAATATAACTTCTCTAATGCAATCAAATATATTCGATGTCGAGTGGAATAAATGATATCGTTTGATTACATTGAGGAAAACTCGTCCAAAACAAGGTATCGATGATAGGATTTCCCTTTTCGTTGCACAGAAGGTAAAGCAAACCTTAATGATAGGATTTACCCTTCAATGCTACCATTAAAAAAAAAAAGAACTCACGATGCGATTTGAATAAATTCCTGGTAGTTTCGCAATAAAAAAATTCACATTTTATTTTCCTTTTCTTTTTTCTGGCTCCAGAAATTCACCTCTCATATCCCTAATCTCAAAGATTTCTTTTGTAGCAAAAAAAAAAGACCCCCCCCCTCTTTTAATGGTATCTTTTTTTTTTCTGCCCATTTGATCAAGAAGGGTCTTCAAAAATTACTATAGTAAAAGTAAATCATAGCCATAGAAATATTTATATTCAATAAACTAAGAATTACCATATTATATATATATATATATATATGTATAAAACATGGTTTTCTTTTCTTTTGAAGCATGATTTATTTTATTTTAATTCCGGAACAAATTGACAACCGCCCTCCTCTTGTCCTCTCTGGCCTCGTCTACAAGTTCTGTGCTTTCTTCTCTTCTCCTCCTCCTCTCTCTTCTGCGTGCGTGCGAGCGTGTGTGTGGGTGCGGGTGGACCTTGAACGCCAATAGCCTCTGATTCCCTTCCTTGCAACTTCCCCCTTTTTGCCTCCCGTCGTCACGTTCACGTTAATCTCGGCGAGCACGTTCGTTCGTGTGTGTGTCTCTGTCTTCCCTATATATAGCTGCGCCTTGAACAGACAGAGACAGAGACAGAGACAGAGACGGAGGTGTGCAGATTGACCGGGAGTCGGAAGTGCGTTTAATCATCTGTTCACGCGAGTAGTCTCGGCCCTCCGTTGTATTCATCCTCGGCCATGGGAGAGGAGGCGACGGCGACGGCGAACGGCCCGAGCGGGGTCCCGGGTCGGGTCATCGACGGCCCGACGAACCCGATGGTCACCCCGCTGCTCACGGATCTCTACCAGTTCACCATGGCCTACGCCTATTGGAAGGCCGGGAAGCATCAGGAGCGCGCCGTGTGAGTTGCCTCCCTCTTTTCTCTCCTTCGTGTATTTAGTTCGTTCGTTCCTTCGTTCGTTTCGGCTCCGTTTGGATTGGTCTGCTTGGTATCCGACCCGACGGGGTGTCGTGTCGTTGTTCGTCCTTGGAGGCTCGCGTTCCTGCGATTTCGGTGGTGTTGGGTCTTTCCTGTTCATTTTTATGGCTGCCCTTTTTTGCATTTTGGAGAACGTCTGTCGTTTTGATTTTGATATGCATGATGATATGGTGTTGCAAGTCCTGATGCTCTGTCATTGGAAGCCCCCCCCCCGTTCGCATCCTTAGCTTCATGAAAGCTTTGGTGCCTTTCTGTCCCGGACACCTTTTTCTGTTTTGTGCGGTATGGTTATGAATGAGCAGTCCTTTTGCTTGTCTTTTTCTTCTTCCTTATACGATGAGAGTAAGTTCCTGTCCCACACTAGACTTAAGGGTCAAGTAAGACGCAATTCGATGCTCGGTTGGATGGTCCAAAAGAGGGATTGTTTGCACTTGAGCCTGTGCTGTGCCCCTGGTCCAGATGCATATCCATGTACTTCTCGCATCTCGTCATTAATGCACGAATTAAATGGCTAGACGATGGGTACCGAGCTCCTGAATGGGGAAAAAAAGTACTTGCTGACGGTGATAATGTCAAACTGTCATAAAAAACGCAACCCCGCCATCTTGGAGTTGAACTATTTCTTGCGCAGTAACGTGCCTCCCCTTAAAGTGATCGCCTACTCTTCAGACTCGCCCGAGCAAGATTTGCATTTTCAAAATGCACAGAGCACTGCTAGCATCTAGTACCTTTGCTTTGGCCTGTCATTCTGATCTGAATTTCCTGAATGATAAAAAAGCTACCCTTGTCATGACCGATAAGCTGATTTTTTGGGTTTAGAAGCTTCTCTTATGTGAACTGAAATATGTTTCAGGTTTGATTTATACTTTCGCAAGAACCCATTTGGTGGTGAATATACCATATTTGCGGGTTTGGAAGAATGCATAAGGTTCATCGCCAATTTCAAAATCACTAAGGACGAGATTTCTTTTATCAAGCAATGCTTGCCACCTTCATGTGAGGTAAACTCAATAGGTGCCGGTTGATTGACTGTCTGGTTTGCATAATATGGTCATGTGTTGATGGGGGTAACATTTACTACTGCATTTAGAATTCCATTGGTCAGTTTTACTTAGCATTCGGTTGAGTTAGATGCTCTTTGAAATTCGACATTTGTTTGGGAGAAGCTGTTGGACTCTTTAAGGATGTGAAAGATATACATGAAGGTGCATTTTTTCCAAAGTCGATGGTTTTGGTCATAAGGACAAAAGCGTAGTGTATGCGCTTGTGTTCGTGCCTGAAAGTTGCTGAAGAGTTCCCCTGTGATGGGACATGCTAGAGGTTCCCTAATTTGCTCCAGTTCGTGTGTCCCGCAGTAAGACTTCTGTAGCCGAAATTGAGGACATTTGGCTGAAAACATAGCCACATCTATCAAGCTGCATAGTCCTTTTCTCTTTTCAATATTTTCTTATCTGTAGGCATTATTGCAATGCTCAAGCAAGTGAAACCCAAAACTAGTTTTTTCTTTAATTTGTGGATCAAATAAGCACATAACTCAGCGAATGTCCTGATCTCATTTACTCTTTTCCCAAACACTGGAACAGTAAATTATTATAGACATATTTTCTAGGATAATGTCTAGATTTTAAACATCACATCAGCAGCTGAAATGCAGGACAGCCATGTAAACAAGCATTCCCTGGAAATGAATATTAATTGGATACCAAGTAGTGCAACTCAGGGCTTCGCTAAGGAAAAAGAGCATGTGAAACATTAACTAGCAGGTTATCTTATATGAGGAAATGGTGATGGGAACTTCCTCTCCTTTCTAGAAAAGTGGAATTTGGAATGTGGAAAAAAGAGTGCTTGCCCATTCAGACTAATGTGTTCTTGTGAGGTTGCCTCCTTGAATTTATATCAAAATTAGACCAGCATAAACCATCATTCCTCACTTTCATGCGTAATATATTTTTGGATGAACAAGGTTCCACAACTCTTCCATGGCATGCTAAGGGACTCAGGAGATGTTCCCTCCAACTGGCCCAAGATAAAAGGGCATGGGATGATTGACCAGAGCTCTCAATAACCTGTGAACTAATTTTTATTAATGTTCTCATATGTGCTTATATCATAGGTAATATTGAAGAATGTAGAGCCAAAAGGTTGACATGCCCAAAAGTTGTCATGTTTGCACTAACTAAATCTCCTGTAGACCTGCCAAATGCATGATTTGCTGCACTGGTAAACCAGAACTAGCAGAATTTCTGTCTGATGCCTATCTGTATTTCTGCAGGATGGATTTTATGATTATCTCAGAGAAGTAGACTGTTCTGATGTTGAAGTGTATGCCATTTCCGAAGGGTCAGTAGTTTTTCCAAAGGTTCCCCTGCTGCGAGTTGAAGGGCCAATTGCTGTGAGTGTAGTTCCTCTTATGTTTGCTTCAACATTCTCCTATTCGAATGTCTCAAGTATTTAATTTTCTTTGTGTCACCGAATTTTTATATACTTATTTGAATAATTACTTCTTACTTTGATACTTGTAAATTTTTATGTCCTTAGGTTGTCCAACTGCTCGAAACACCATTTGTGAACCTTATAAACTATGCATCACTAGTGACTACGAATGCAGCAAGGCACAGATTTGTTGCAGGAAAATCAAAAAATTTACTTGAATTTGGGCTTCGACGAGCTCAGGTTGGTAGTTACTCTGGCAATTTCTTTTACGACTATTCCTGTCTTTTATCATGAAAAGTTACCTTTTCCTCCATTTTAAATGTCAGGGGCCTGATGGTGGAATAGGAGCATCCAAGTACTGCTATATGGGTGGATTTGATGCAACAAGGTATCTCGTTTTCCTTTTAAGATATAGATGTTGTGTCATAGCCAGTCAAGTATCATTGCTCTTCTTGTATGTTTTGTTGATGAAGGATCACTTCTCTATTTATTAATGGTCTCAAATGCATACTGCATCAGTAATAAATATGTGGACTACATAGCATGAGCATTAAGACTTGCAAGGCTCTGATATTAAGTATTTTAGCTTTGCTCTCCTACCTAGTATATTGATACCTAGATACTTGAAAAATGAATAAAAGAAGAAGGAATTTGCATTATCATTCAGATTATGTTGTGGTCTTTGTGTTTTCCAATAAGAAATGGTCCAGTCATCCTTGCCGATAAGAAGGGCCCTGCATATTATACATGAAAAGAAAAGGCATATTTTAATAAAAAAGCTTTACTGTAACAGATCTGTGCATTTTTAGTTTTCATTTATACATAGTTTGAGGAGCTTTTCTAATGAATTTATCTCTAAATGCTCCTCCACTTTAGTTTTTCAATGTTCCTCTCGTAACTTATAGACACCACTTACTTTTTTAATTCGATCCAGGCTCCTCCTGGAAGCAACCTCTGTAATCTGAGTCAATTCTTGAGTCTCCTCTTGACAACTTGAATGTATAATAGTATAATGTATTTTTTAATTTTGTATTGACAGCAATGTTGCTGCTGGGAAGCTGTTTGGCATACCACTTCGAGGAACACATTCCCATGCTTTTGTTAGTTCATATATGGTATGTAATTTTGCAGGCATCTTTATTTGCTTTTACTTGAGAATTGTCATAAGCTCAGCCAGAGCATACAAATTATGATCGTCATCAATATAATGTACATCTTTTTATCATCACCTCTTTTTCTTCATTTCACTCTGAAAGAAAATCACCGTAAAATTGAATCAGGTGGGTACTATTTTACTGTATTCCCTGAAACTAGATAATTTTCTGTATATGTGCTCACTCAATCCTGCAGTTGGAAATTACCATTAGCTCACGCTCTTTCAGCTCATCTTTATTATTTGACATTCTCAATTTAATGTCACCTTTTCTTTGGCTTTTAAATTGTAATTTTCTGGCAGTTATGCCATGCTGCAGCTTCCCTGTTCTAATATGCTTGCTGATCACAGAATATAGATGAGATAGCAGAGAAGTCTCTATGCAGTTCTGATGGCGCAACTACGTGTGAGGATTTTGTTAACCTGGTTCAATCATGGTTGGAAAAAATCCAGGTACTTTATTGGGGATTTATTGCACTAGCAGTAATGATTTGATTCATTATTATGCATCCAATTTTGTTTTAATTTGCAGGAAGTGTACCTTTGTTAGAGAACCGACTATACCTAAAGTTTAAATCCGTATGTAATCACATCCATAATGTGAAACAGCAAGTGGTAGAGCTCTCCCTCATAAGAAGATACTCATAAATTATTATTATATTTATCCATGAAGTATAGAGTTTGGACCATACTGCATAGACTGGATTGGAGCTGAAAGCAAGATCGGATGCAGTCGGATTTGGAAGGAAACATTGGGAAGCTGCTAAAATGCTGGATGGCGTTTCTATCCCAAGAAATCTAAACAGTTTGGGGAAATAAGAAGAGATGTATACTAATATTATTGAGCTGATGGTAGTGCATAAAAATAGTAAATTAGAAAATAGTTCATGTTGAAACAGTAATGATATGGACAAAAACACTAATAATATTTTATCTCCACCTGCAAGGTAAGGTACCACAATATTGAAGGTGACTCTTCTGGAATATGAGTACTAACTTGAAATTGTTAAGTAAGCTGTGTAAATGAAACTACTGCATTTGACAGGAAGCAAGAGGAGGGAATCTTACATGATATATATTAGATAATGATTAACTTTGAAACTATTTGTTTAAAACCAAGAGAAAATGGGCAGCCCGCGTGATCAGGTTGACAGTCATGAAATTTCAATTGCAGCATCTGCGAAAGAAATTTTTTTTGGATGTTCAGAAAGGTGGTAGGACTGCTGCAATTTATCTCAAATGAGTTTAGAATACGTAACTAGGGATTATAGCTGAATGGGTGGGAATTATTACTTTGAGAGACTCCTATAGTGTTGCTGTTAAGAATCTTGATTTTTTTTTCGTTAATTTTTATTTTGTCTTCTGCATGTCTTTCAGCGGTCAAAATCGTTACATGGCATATTTGGTGAGACCAATCAAAGTGAGCTAACAGCATTTACTTCATATGCCTTGGCATTCCCCACCAACTTTCTGGCTCTCGTTGACACATATGATGTACGTGAACAATTTACTTAACAAATTTCTTGCATCTGGCTGTTTTTTTTACTATATTTCTAAGGCGGCTTTCCTGTTATGTTGTTTCTTTGCATCATCCTTGGCCTACATCAATCTAACATGGTTCTCACTGTTAAATTGACAATTTTTTCCTGTTCATAACATTGTTCTTCTGATATACAATATAGCATGTGATTATCTTGGAGCAGTTCATAAACATTTTTTTCAGAATGTTAAAAGCCCATCTTTTTCTCTAGTATGTTGCATTCAAGGAATCTGTAGCCTGGTCACTTTTTACTCTTTGTACAAATTGCGTAAAAGTTTTTCAGAGTAAATGAGGAACAACACTAAATATAATGGGTGACGTCGTGGTGGTGGGTCCTGCGCTAGCGTCACCCCGGGTTTACCTCCTCGGCTGTCGGCCGTGCGGGGGGTTCCCGGGTTACCAAAAAAAAAAAAAAAACACTGAATATAATGGTCTTTACCCAAAAAAAAAAACACTAAATATAATGGTTATTAAATGGTCTTTGGTTACTTTGTATAAGGTAGAGCTGGATATTAATGTATGAAAGTACAGAATTATCGGATAATTCTCTTGTAGAAGTTGTCCATTTTGTCCACTTGCAAAATTTTACTCTAAAAGTAAAAAATGTAATTGTCTTATCTCTTCTTCAATTGAGTGTTCATGTACTTCACTCATGATGGCAACTCCTTCCGTCTTGTACATGATACTTTTCTTATCTATTTCACACTTCTAGTAATCATTTTTTTTTACATAACAATGTTTATTTCCATTTCATCAGGTTATGAGAAGTGGAGTTCCAAACTTTTGTGCAGTGGCGTTAGCACTCCACAGTTTGGGGTATATAAAATAATACCCCTTGTTTTGTCATTTTACTTGGAGAACCAGTTAACTCAGTTGAAAACTTTTTTTTACTTGCTTTCTTGTTCCAATAAAATAGTTTGGTGATCATTGGGACATGCAATCGGTGTGTGAGATGTTTATCGGCATGCATTATCAGCAAAAATCATTCTTTTGATTGGATCTAGAAGCATTTTAATGATGAAAACAAAAACATGAATCAATGATGAAAATGAAGAGGGAAGAAAGTCACAGTATGTGATTGTACTTGCGCCCTATAACAAGGTTGTGAGAAACATCAGACATTTCATGAATTTCTAGACTTAGAGTTTTTTTTGAGACATTAGTAGTTGTACAAGCTTGCCTGCAGACCCAACTATGGATCGATTGGTCAGATATGAGCTAATGGGAGTGAGGTGTAATGTGTGAGTAGAAATTAATTGACCAACTTATCTTCCATTTCCGTGTGATTACATCTCTTCTGTTCATCTTTAACATTGTTATGTCGTGATTTTCTTTTTACCTATGTACATGGCATAATGAAGAATTTGGATGCTCAGTTAAAATTAGATAATGTGCAGATATAAAGCAGTAGGCATCAGGTTGGACTCCGGCGACCTAGCGTATCTGTCCTGTGAAGCTCGTAAGTTCTTTTGCAGTGTTGAGAAGGAATTCGGTGTGCCTGATTTTGGAAAGACAACTATCACTGCGAGCAATGATCTCAATGAAGAAACTTTAGATGCCCTAAACAAACAGGTAACTATCTCACAAGAGGCTGTTTGATGAAGAATCATAACAGACTGTTGCCTTGAACTCTACATACTTAAATAGCATATTCTAGAGGTTGCGAATTTTCAAAAAGTAACTGGAGTGTTTGAAGATCTCTTTTCATGTTTACTGCATCAAGCATGTGAACATGTAATGACTAAAAATATTATTTGTATCTAGCTTTTCACGTGACAGTTATCTAATTACTTTTATTATCAGCGCTCTTCGTTAAAAAGCTGTCAGCTCATCCATTTCCTGTGTTTTCTTATGTGAAAAGATTTGTCAGCCAATTGTATGCATCACAACCAATTCTATCATATGTCTGGACAAATCTAGACTTGAGAAATTCAGGATGGAGCGCTTGCAGGAAACCTAGTGTAAAATTTATAAGAAGAGAGGGTAATTTGCACAATTGAACTATTTACAGGATTGTATTCTAATTTCTCCTATATCTAGACAATCAGTTGATTCTTGGGTCACTTAGCATGGTAGTTCTTAGAAAGTCAAGGAAAGAATAGGAAAATAACAAGCGAGATTTTCGTGGTTGGGCATCTTGTGAACTAAATCGACAGAACCAGAGGACAAAAGGTCCAGTAACTCAACTGAAAGATTGGGTACTCTGCTTCTAGGCACTCAACCTCCTGTAATACCCTATATCATATTGTAGCAAACTGGTGGGTCAAGACAGCATTAATACAAGAGAAACCCCACATGCTGTTCAGACTTGAAGTATATACTAAAACCTGGTGTGGTCTATTTTATGGGAGCTTCGCTCACCTGACACATGTATGCTACAGACTTGTCTTTGCTCTTAGGTCTGATCTTCTCTTCTATCTACTTGGATCTCTCAAAAAAATTCTTGCTTGAGTGATTTTTTTTTTTTTTGCTTATTTGATTGGGTCCTCAAATTGGGTCCCATTTGTCAAAACAGGCTTCTTCTCAAGACTAAGGAAAGTAATAGCTGATTGGTTGTAATTCTTTGCACATCTTAATCCAATCAGACCGCTTTTGAAGAGAGAAAATCTTCAAGCTTGCAAGAGGAAAAATTGTATGCTGTGGCAATCATTTGCTACCAAGTGGAATATCTATTTCTAATAGGGTGGATGTTTCAGGCGTTTTTTGAGTTTCCCATGGTTAGTATGAACTCAACATATGCGGGTACTGAGATTTTATTTCACAGGGTCATGAAGTTGATGCATTTGGCATTGGAACCTATTTGGTCACCTGTTATGCTCAAGCTGCTCTTGGTTGTGTATTCAAGCTTGTTGAGATAAATGATCAGCCACGTATCAAACTGTCAGAAGACGTTTCAAAGGTATGATCAAGATTTTTGAGAAATCCACTGTAATTAACTGTTTTTTAGTGGTTAAATTAATTCCTTTTAGGTCGCAGGTATCTATTCCTTGTAAAAAGAGGAGTTACAGATTATATGGGAAAGAAGGTTATCCGTTGTTGGACATAATGATAGGGGAAAATGAACCGCCTCCGAAGGTACTTGATTGGAATGATGCTCCACTAGTCTCTTTTGTTCCGCCCTTCAGAGTATATTCTGATTGGAAGCTGGTTTTGAATAATTTCCGTTTGGTTAAAGCCTTTATAAGTGATTTTATTTGGAAAAAACTTTCAAAAATGGCATTTGTTAAACCAGGCTTCATCTAAAAGAAAATATTCTTTTCCTCATAAATCAATATAAAGATGGAGCCCATAATTGTCAGTGTGCTGTATGGGTTTCTTTCTGACTACCAGGTTGGAGAAAGGATTCTCTGCCGTCACCCTTTTAGTGAATCAAAGAGAGCCCATGTGGTTCCACAGCATGTTGAGGAGCTGCTGAAGTGTTATTGGCCTGGATTATCTGGTGAGAGACTCAAGACTCTTGATGTTCTTGCTCTCTGGTAGTGAACTGGAATGATTCTATGTAGACGGTTATCCAGCATCATTGTCTGACAAATGATGTTTGCCTGTTTTTGTTGTGTGTTTAACACTGTTAATCTCAATGTTAGAGTAGATTGCCATCCGGTCCCTTTCGCATCAGCTATTTTTTAAGTGCGCTGATGATTTTTGTGACTCGGGTTTTGTACACCAAAGAGGGACCATATGTAATTTTCTGTTTGTTTGGTTGGTGAAGGTAAACGAAGAGAAGAGTTGCCTCCTCTTAAGGAAGTGAGGGAGCGCTGCATGAATCAGCTAGACCAAATGCGCCCAGACCATATGAGGAGACTCAATCCGACGCCCTACAAGGTTCGGCAGATCCACTCTCATCTTCTTGTCACTCTCTTTTCCAAAGCTTATATGCATGTCCTGATTTCAATGGTCAAACAGGTGAGCGTGAGTGCAAAATTGTACGATTTCATTCATTTCCTGTGGCTCAACGAGGCACCCGTTGGAGAGTTGGAGTGAAGACAGTTCAGTGTCTTCGGGGCAGTGTTAAACTGAATAAATTCTGAATAAATTCGCCATTTAATTTGTTGGACAATAAATCGATTTCCATTGTTTAATAGGATGTGTGCCTTCCTTTTCTCTTTCTCAAAGGAGATGATTCACCTTCAAATATTTGTACATATATAGACTTCTTTGTTTGCAGTCCTAAACGCCACGGTGGGCTCTGGTTGATAAGTATTGAGCGGCTCAGCTCAGAGAGCTACTGGAAAGATTCCTGGTGTGCTTCTGTATATGTGGTGCTGGTGTCCATCAATTTACAGAAAATATCAAAATTATGTTAATAGACAGGAGGTGAACTGTGGGTCGGGTTAGGTTTGGATGAGTAGTCTTAGATGAGTCTGGACCAAATTGACTTGTTTAACTCACAGCTATTTAACTGTTTTCATGCAAGAGATTTTTAGTTATGACCCATACCTAACTCCGATCCGCACTTAAACCGGGTTCATTTAAATAACTTGTATATTAGTCGGTATGGATTAAGTCAAATTTGAAAAAAAGAAAAGAAAAGGAAGCCTTGTATCTGAATAGGTCTATGGTTTGTCCAACAAAAAAGTTGGCAAATTAAAGGTTTATCTGCACATCATCTGAAGGGAGTAAAGAGAATTTTCATATTTTTCCTATACCGCTGGGAAGAATTTAATGATGCAAATCTGGATTTGCTACGATGAACCACCAGTATTGGCCCTCTTTATCTTTTTGGTTTTTTGGTCTGTCCTACTCTAACTCTCAATTTATTTTCAAATTTTTGTCCCCCTTTTTGGAGAGCATGGGAGTCGAAATCCACATTTGAAATTAAACGTTCCCACCCTTAACCCCTCTTGAGAAGGTGGGGAATTGAACTCTCCATCTCTACCTTCCTAAATAAGAAGGGTGGCCACTGAGGCAAACTTCAGTGGTTGCCCTCTTATCTCTCTTGCGGAACAAAAATGGAGTGTTGCAACAGCCAGTGACAATTTGCAACAAACACCTTTGCGAACTGATTTGCTTGGAAATTACAGGGTGAGAACTGAAATAAGAGAAACTAGATCATAGAGTCCGTTCGAGCTGGAGGTTGACTCTTCGTGTCATGCTCGAGCGCCGCCTCATTGTGAGCTGGCAAGCACCCTGTCGATGATGGCCGAGACTTATTGAATACTCATTTGTAGCTAAGAGTAATCATCATCAAACGACTATCAAAATAAATAGGGATAAGTGCACTTGAAATCTTAAAACTTGTTATAAAAGTGCAATTGAGTCATAAACTTGTAAAAAGTGTAATTAAGTTTTAAAACTTGTCAAGTTGATAAAATCAAATCTTTCCATTAACTCCGTCCAACTTTGCTAATTGAAAATACTGATGTGACTTTTTTAAATATATTCTCTCTTCTATGTGGCGATGATATATCTAAATCATGAAATATAAGGCTAATACGATATCATTTTGTTCCAAATCTAATTTTTAATATAAATTTTATGTAAATTAAATTCAAAAAGGGTAATTTTTTTTAAAAAAAGGGAGAAATCAAGGCTGCAATCCTCGTTGCCACCGCCCCACCCTCGCCGGGAAGGCTGGCAAGGGGGCGATGGTCGGCGAACCTCACCTGATCTGGGTGTGGGTCGCAACCCTTGCTCAGATCGAGACGAGGGTCGCCCGATCTGGGTGTGGGCCGCGACCCTTGCTCAGAAAAAAACATCTGACCATTCGGTCACTTTGAAGAAGGACAAGAAGCAAGCCACGCACACAGGGAAACGTCCACCTCCATGTCCATGCACGCCCTTGGTCTCTCTCTCCTATCCACGTACAGAGGGGCTCTGAATTCAGCAACAACTCTGGTGGTGTGAGCGAGCTTCGGGCATCCACATCAGGTTCCAGCAGGGATCTCAGTCGATCTTGCGGTGTCTAAACTTCCTGAGCCATCGGCTTCTAGCCGTTGTTTGTTGCCCCAATGAGCCCTCACCGTAGTCGTCTCTGTCGATCACATTCTCTGCCGGAGACCCATCAAGTCCGATGGTCGCGCCACTATCCTTGCTGAGATCTCTCTTTGTTACTTTAGGTAAACCCTAAATCAAAGTGAGTTTAAAGTTAGTAGTTTATATGGTAATTTTATTATATAGTTTCAAATGCAAATTATATTGCATTAGAACCTAGGTTATTTCATAATGTCTTGATTATTGTTTACACTAAGACATGTTAGTGTATAGGATCTTTGAGATCCTTAATATTGTCTCCTGTGTAGTTTGCTACGCGTGATTGATTAAATAAGTTTTGATTGGATTAAAATGATATGTCATTGAATAATATTGGTGCGTTTTGGATAAGACATATATTTCGATGCGTTATAAACTTTAGTAATTGTCGCTTATATAATGCATATCATGTATTACATGCATATTTAGAACTTAGGGCTTCCAAATTTAGAGCATTGAATGTCAATTTTAGAATGCATATAGATTTAAGGTTGACTAGTCTCATATAATGAACATCATGTAGTAAATCATTTATTCCTCGGGTTGATTTTTAGTAATCGAATCATATAGATAGCTTCAGCTATTAATTGCATTGCATGCATTATCTACATCGCCTATAGTTCATATAGCGTAACAAAAATATAAAATCTTAGCGTTGCATCATTTAGTTGTTAGTCACAGTGATTTCCTGGTATTTCATGTGTAGAGTCTTAGCTCTTAATTTTGTTCAATTTTTATAATAAAAAAACTAAAAAAATAACATTTCATATAGTTTTCATTATAGAAGAGGTTCATTACTTCCCATAGATTATTCATACATGCTAATTGACTAAGAACTGCATATTCAATATGTCATACGTTTCAAACATGTTATCTTGCATCTGGAACTTAGATTGCATTTTCATTAATCATGTAGTAACTTAGGTTATATATTCATGAATGATTAGGAAATAAAACAGGATAATTGATTTGTAGACTTTTAGAGTCCTTTGTCTTTCGTTACTTACCAAACGGATAAGAACAAAAACTGAATTAGATTGTATCATGTAGGTTGCTTAGTTAGGGATATCATTTCAACCCTTCTTTTTTTATCATAATGTAGGTTGTACTAGTCAACCCCCATTATAAGAATTAGACAAAGACTTGAGTCGTCGAATCAAGATCCAACACGTGGGAATGGTTTTGTTCTAGAGAATCCAGCCGGCAACAACAGGATGACAAACCAAGTTGGTCGACAACTTGGTCCAATGCCTGAAGTTGAAGATGCTAGGCTAGCAATCAGTATAGCACCACTAGATGCTAACGTCCCCACTAGGCCTAACCCACCGATCAATATAAATATAGAAATTCCAGTAAGACCAACATTACTGCCTAGAGGGCAAGACGGCCAATTAAATACCCTGGTAGACATATCATTAATGGCCAAGGGAGTTTTTTTTTTTTTGATAACCCAGGGAACCCCCGCATGGCCGATAGCCGGGGAGTAAACCCTGGGGGCGACACGTGCTAGCCACCACACTCGTGCCACCGGTTAAGTTACCCTGCGGCGCTCGGGATTCGAACACTCAACCTTTTGCGAGAGGAAGAATGCGCGCTCCAGCAGCGCCACCCAGGCGGGTGGTTTTAATGGCCAAGGGAGTTGGGTAGCATTTATGACTAAAAAGGGGTAATTGATCCTTTTGAAGATTCTCTTATGGCTAATTTGGAGACTGAAGATTTATATAAGAGATGCAAAGCAAGTAGGATTAGATTTTGCTCATACGGAAACAAGATTTACAAGAATCTTTTCTTAATCAAAGTGAACCGAGGTAGATCATTTGGGTCTCACCTTGAAGATATGATTAAAATTCATGGACCATGATCGAACCAGCAATAGGACGTTCCAAAGGTGTTTTTGTTGGATGTTTGTTTGTAAAACAAATAAAATGATGCTCTTTCATTTGTCCCACATAGGAAAGTTTTGAGAAAGTGGGCCGCTTTATAACTGTGATATCTTCTTGCTCCTTAGAGTGAAGACAATGGGGTGTGTGCTAGTCCACACAATACCCGCGTGCGCTTGCGCGAATAATTGCGCGATTTTGGCGTGATTATTAGGCACACTTAGCACTAATCCCTTTATATTTTTATTTTATTTCGTAAGGTTATCTTATTAATTTTTATTAGTTGAAAGGTTGTTTTTTGTTTATCAAGTAATTTTCGAAATTATGAAAATTCGGAATTATATATTTATTTATTTATTTATTTTATTCCGAATTTTACATGTGTCTTTCCAAGACAACTTTTGGAGATTATATTTGTTTAGTTTTCAATCTTTTCCGAAGGGTTGCATCTATTCAGTTTGCAACTTCCTCCGAATGAATATCTTTGTTAGCTTTGCAACCTTTCGTGAAGAGTTGCCAATGTTCTTTAAAACCGATATCTATATATGTCAGTTTTTGGCAAGAAAGAAAACAGAGATCAATTTCTTCAAGTCTTCTTTCGAAAACTACAGCCATCATTTGTTTTGTTTCCTAAAGAGACCCTGGAGAAATACTAGAATTGCTATCTAGTATTCTCATTTTGAGACTTTGTTGTATCCTGGAGGATTTTTGCCGGTGACCATTAGCAACAATTGTGGAGCAAATAAATCCTTAAGGAAAGTGATATCACGCCTCAAAGTCCGACTTGATTGATCTTTTGATTCGAAGCCATTTTATTTTACAACAATCTTAAGGATTTATTTCGTTCAACAATGGAGTCGGAGACAATCAAAATCATGAACCAAGACATGGTCAAACTGGACCGGTTTGATGGGAACAACTATGCTCGCTGGAGGGACAAAATGATGTTCTTTCTCACTGCCCTGAAGATATCCTACATTATGGATCCAAACTTGGCACCTATTGAAGATCCGAAGCCTACTGTTGAGGGAGAACAACCAAGTGCGGAAGCCGTTGAAAGGGTTAATAAGGAAAAGAGGAAACGCGAGGAGGACGAATTGCTGTGTCGTGGACACATTCTGAATACACTGTCTGATAGATTGTATGACTTATTCACTGAGATGAAGTCGGCCAGAGAAATTTGGAACGCACTGGAATTCAAGTACAAAGCGGAGGAGCAAGGTACCAATAAGTATTTAATCGCAAAGTATTTCGATTTCAAGTTTATTGATACTAAGCCCGTGTTGGAACAAGTCCACGAATTACAAGTGCTCGTCAACAAAATTCGTGCCCTCAAAATTGAAATTCCAG